GGACGGCTGTGTTTTGTCTCACTGAGAAGGAGGTTAAAAGAGAGGATAGGCGATGAAAGGTAAAGGGGGCAAACACACATACATGCAACCACACAGAGTATGTAAGCTTCCAATGACAATGACCATATAGTGGTAATGTATACAATACTGCCTAACGTCACACCAAAGAGCCAAAGAGAGACAAAACCCACAAAGCTTCATGATAATGCTGGGCCTTGGTGAGCTGACATTTACCCTGCACCCAACACATGCGCACGTGCACACGCACGCACACGCACACACACACTCACACACACTTAAGGTCCCATATGCATGACAATAGCCTAAGACCAGAGACACTGACAGGAGAGAGACAGGGGAGTGATAGCAGAGAGGAGGTGCAAGGCCATATCCTGAAGAGACTGTCTTTAATGGATGGCTGAGGGAAGAACATGTGAAAAATGTGCATATATATATATGTATATATACTGTGTGTGTGTGTGTGTGTGTGTGTGTGTGTGTGTGTGTGTGTGTGTGTGTGTGTGTGTGTGTGTGTGTGTGTGTGTGTGTATGCCTGAATCAACATTAAAACATAAAAGAACTTTTGAGTGACACATAAGGAAGGCTGTGCTACTGTAGATAGTGAGCTGGATGGACTTCAAGCGGGAGACAGAGAAAGTGAGATAGATACTCTGGTGATGTTCAGATCAGGACACTGGCTGAAAAAAGACAGATAAGCAGCGCGGTGGTTTCATTGGCAGATTGATTGACAAACACAGACAAGCGGATGGCATGTAACAGATATATACAGTAGAGTTTACATAAACAAACTCCTGGAAAGCCATAAACGCCAATGGCAGCTGGGTGGAAGTGACAGAACTGACAGACCCCGGACAAGACAGTAGGGGCCTGCTACTGTGCGATTCATGCACACAAAGTTTAACTTAAGCTTAAACTAGGTATCCTGTGTGTATGTGTAGTTATGTTGAGACAATGAACTTAAAATTGACTGGAGAATATGGAAAATACCAGAAAACTGAGGAAGAGAGTTAGGGCTTCAGGCAAATAGATGATATGTGATAGACGTCAAGCTTCATGTACAGAGAGACACAAAAGAGAGAAAGATAAATTTATATTCAAGAAAAGCGTGAACCATAAGTTATCAACTTCAGACAAAGATTAATTTTGGGGGGAAAATACAGCATTCTCCCTTTAATCACAGGGAAGAATGCGTCTGCTTTAGAAAATCCTTACAAGCACATACAGATAACAAAAGAACAGAGCTTTTAAGCTGTCGGGAGGTTTTCACCAGGCTAAAAGCTTTTTCGTCTATTTAGTAGTCATGTTATTGTTGCACAAAGCTGAAAATGTTGTGTCTTTTCTAACTTGCTCACTATTTTATCTGCCTATGAACAGCCAGTTTATTCAGCGTGTTAGTTTAAACAAAATTGACCTCTTTCTCTCTGTAAAGTGCTTCTTTTTTGGAGTATTATTTCTGTCCTCCAATGTGGAAGAGAAGTGGCCTTACAAAATTACAGAGGTCATCTATGTCAGCCTGAGCTACAGTAATGGAATTCAAAAAATATTTGTTCCTAAATAAAAGATCCATCATAAAAAAAAAAATCTCATGTTACTTTAAAGCATTTAGTTGGTAAACTGTTTATTATCTGGCCAGTTGTTTTAATAATATTTTCTGACTACAATGAATCAAAACATGTGGCATTTTGCTATGTCATTCTTCACAGTGCAATACAGACAACAGATGAGCTCATGCTAGATGAATGTAATTACCTCCTTGACATAAATGATCAAACCTTCTGTTCCACTTTTGGAACAAGCACAGAGGCACCCGTGTTGAGCGAAAGGTAAAACCTCCATTATTAAACAGTCTCAACCTTAGCAAAATGTTTCCTCCGGGGTCTACAGAACATAATACTTCATAATGAAATATGATGCACTGCTCTCTCTCATGACTACATGTGCAGTGCGTATTGCTCCCTGTTGACCCTTAACCACCTGCAGCAATTCTGAAACTTTTCCTAGTTAAACTCGTCCAAGTGCTCTTCTTTGCCAAGCTGCTGGCTCTGTCAGATCCATTTATAGACAGGCAGACTGGACAGCTGCCTGCGTGTCCAGAGGGGTCTTGGGACTGCCCACTCATTTCTTTTCATTAAGTCTGACTGATTGGGAGCCTCCGGTGGCACCGTTACTCGTCTCCCCTCTCTTTCTGACCCAGTCTCAGTCATTCCAAGGTGCTATTTGAATATCCACATTTTTACCCTGCATTAGTAAATACTTCCATAATAACTAAGAAAATCTTAAGTTCTAGACAGAAGTCTTGAAAAGCTTTTTTTCCAACTGTATGATTTTACATGTTTTACATGTATGTCACCCATCTTCTTTTTCTCTGTGGCTTCTTTATGCCCTGCTACTTTCACTGACCCCTCCTGCCTACTCTCGTTGGGCTGCACATGATTCTGTCCAATCCTTGCCTCTGGCGTTAAAGATACTGTAAATGAACCGTGAGGCCGTAGTAGAATATGGATGCAAGTAATTATAACAGCAAGAGATTCAAGTAAAGTCTGACTGAAGCACTGGGATCAAGGTTTCAGCTCTTAAACTACAGCACAATATTACAATCAGCTGCTGAAGTTCACTAACTGGAAAGGGCTTTTCTATGAATATGTGCATCTCCTAGCCAAACCTAGCTAAGACCTAACAGAGCTCCATGGCCAGCAGTGCAGATCTGAGCTAATGCACTGGTTAATGCCAGTGATAGAGGTTTTAATATAGGAAGAGGGATGCATGGAGGATGGGGATTGGAGGGGAAAGAGATGGATCAACAGTGACAGCAGCATGAAAGAGTCGTGGATGAGGAGATAATACACAAGATGCCTGGATAAGTCAGAAAGAAAGAGTTAAAGGAGAGGTGATATTTGATGGATGTAGTTTAATAAGACACTAAAATATGAGTTTTTTTTATTTTCACACTTTTATATTTTAAATCTAGGAACATTTATATGCCTCTTAAAGTTTGAGCTTGGGACACAGCTCTTCAAAAGTCTTAAAGGTCAACCTGAAAATCCCACCCTCTTCAAAAGAGTAGCGCAGGTCACTCTTGAAAAGCAAGGTTTAATCTCTGTTAGATTATCCCAAGAAAGAAAGGTTAGACAGAAAAGATTTTGGTGATAAAATGCTTCAGATCACGACTTTCCTTCTCCAACCATGTGAAATAAAATTTTTTTTAAAAAGCCACAACTTTTAGAAATATAGGAATTCCAGGCAGAAGAAAACATTTTATCATATGAATACAGTTCAAAGATATTTAGTAGTTTGGTGTGCAGTACCAGAAATTGAACAGTAATTCTTATTCTCTCTCTAAAGTCAACCATAGAGCGGCAATGTCTGGAATCCAAACCACTTATGAAAAACTTCCAATTTCTCCTCAGAAGATAGTGTGAGCTCAGAGTCTGTCCTGTCTGTCTGTTTTCAGCCCACAACACTCAACATGTTCGATACAATATCTTTTACTTTTTCATTTATTTGCCCTTTTACTCACTCAGTGCCCCTCCCTTTCTTTCTGTCTCTGACTCTCATTCACACTCACTCTGTCAGGGATATGCCTGATTGAATCGGAATTAAACAAATGCCTCACATTTTACAAAGAGAAAAACAGCTTGCCTCTACTCTGCACTACTACCTGTTCTTTAAAACACTCACAAACTGAATTTATACAGAACATGCTCACCAAACACTGACTCCTTTACAAACACATATACACTGTTTTTTTCCCCCAAAGGGCACCGTCCCCCTGGCAAATGGATCTTTTGAACCAGTTTAAAAAGAGCGATTGCTTTTATTTTGAGCTTTTGCCTTGCTTTTATCGACTGTTTAAACTGCCAAATTCACCAATTGTTGTTTTGTCTTTTATCTAGTTTGGAGCCATATCAGTGTATTTTGTCACGATAATAATGTGCAAATTGCTCCATTCATTATTGTTTTTTGATGGAGAAATTGGGTAAAATAAGCACTTTGTAGATAAGCGTAGGGTCTGAACACTATTTGCGAAAGCATCAGCAGAAAGCAGAAGGCATTTCAAAGCGCTGAATGCTAAAACTGATTTTAATACACTAATAACGGTGTAATCTTCCTATCAGAAAGTTCCAAAACACAGTGTATGCCTGGTGACTTATAAATCCACTCAATAAGCATGTCTCATTGATTTGGCGTCCTGTTTGAAGTGTCAAAGTAACCAACATGCAGATTACAATTCTCAGAAGTTAACTGATTTGATATAAGGACTGAAAGGATTATTTGTCTCTTCACCTTTTTGTTCCACTGTCAGACTCACTGTCAAGCTCCTTCCAGGTCTGACTAATTAACTGTTATCCTTCTATGGTTTTAAAAATAAAAGACTGCAAGCAAATTAAAAAATGTATCTTTAAAGGAACGGGAGCTACACAAATACTTTGGCCAAGTGTGTCAATCAAAGGGAATGAGCAAGGAGTGATAATGGCAAAGGAAAAAACAAAGGGAGTGGGAAATTGATTTAAAGTTGGGAAGCACAGTGTTACCTGTCACACACATTCAACATTCACATAAACTGTTTCCCAAAGGTTGAGATTTTATTTTTGGTAGTGGGTGGTGTGTGACTGAGGTAACCGAGGTAATTTTCTGTAGCTACAATTTACAGATCTACCCTAAACGCCTCACATCTATTAGACTATTGGTGGACGCTAGCTGGGCGTCTGCTCACAGTTACTGCAGCACACACAACTCAGACGTGAGTGTGGCCAAAAGTTAATTAGAAAAGAGTGAAATAAGGTTTTCTAATGAAAGATTTACCTAAATTGAATGAGAAACTGAGTGATTTTATCTATCAGTGTAGGTCTTAATCAGAGCCCTACGTATGGGGAAATGCTGACACATATTACAACCTAACACTCCCACAAAACCAAGCATTCACACAACTATCCTGTCCACAAATACTATTTTCTTCATTCTCTTATGCACACACATACCGTAAATAGCCCTCGCCCACCTTTTTAGCTTGTTGGACACAGGTCATGTACTGTTTGGCCAGGCTGGAGCAGTGCAGGGTCTGCTGTGGATTTTCTCTGTAGCACTGGAGCACTTTGGTCTGAAGTTCAGTGCACACAGACGCAGCCTGCCGGGGTCTAGAAGCAGAGGGTAGAGAGGGGGATCAGTGTGATTATAACACAGCAGTACCAGCCGAAAACATTCATTATGTGCTCGAATCTCTTGGCTGCAAACATCCTGTTGTTCCTTTGTGACTCAATGGATTGCCTGTTTTAATAGAGCCTCATGTTTTAGAAATTAAAGCATTAGTTTTGTACCAGGTGTTGCTACCCGTTATTCAGTATTGCCTAAAAATGTCAACAAAAGAGAACTGACTGATTAGTATTCTCCACTGTTGATTCTTTGTCAGATATTGAGCCATACTTCCTTTAATGACATCAAATATTTATGGGGCTAACTAAAAAAAAGGATCACTAGTCCAATTGAAATTTCAACATCAGGTTTGCACAAATAAAAAGACAATAGACCAGAACTGGCTGCACTAAATCAAGACACAAGGTACAGGTGAGTAAACCTTACTGACTCTTTGAGGTTCAACTGAGTTGAAATTGCAGTAACAGCAGCACCAACAATTTCTGGTTTGTGTCATTAAAGCTTATGATGAGCAAAAGAAAATAAAACACTTGAGATTGTTTGAGGTTTGTTTTAGCTGCAGTTGGAGTAGCTAAGATAGTTTCCAAGGCTTCAAGGTGCAGCCTGTGGAGACACATGAATTATGCATACACAAAGCAGCTTAGGAGTCAAAGTCAAACTTTCCCTTTTCTTTTTATCTTACTCACACAAACAGTACATGTGTGTAGACAAAAGCACACAATCACATCCACACCCACAAAAACACACACCCACAAAAACACACAGACACATACACAGACATACACGTACAGGTAGAGAATGCTAATCCTACACGAGGGTAATCCTTGAGTGCTCTGTTGCTTGTGGTAATTTACCTGCTGTTGTGACAGAACTCGTAACTGGGAGGATTGGAATATGGATATGTACACACACATGCAAATGCATACACACAAAGACAGAGACACATAACTTATCATTCACAGTACTGCATCCTGTACAAGATCTCATGTACACATAGCCGACTAGCAACAAAAAAGAACACAACAGAATAAATAGATAAATAAAATAGAATAGAATACAGTAGAATAGAACAGAATAAACACACACACTGGTTCATTCAGCAACTGTTCTGGGGCTTTCTACTATATCATGTGATCTTCATCCACAGTTTGCCCAGTTGTCATGTGATTATATGTTCAAATGTCTTTTTTTAGAGCCCCTAAAGCCATTCTCATTTGTTTCCAAGTGCAAGAATAAACGTTTAACCTCAAATTCAAGCCAACATGATTAAATAGTTGAAGTGTGGAAAAAAAAAAAAATCCAGAAACTCCATCTGCTGATGATGATCATGTGTTATGATTGAAAGCTCCTGAACATCAACATAATGGTACTTAATGAAGGATTACTTTATGAACTGGTGCTTCCAAGGTCAAGAATGAACTTTAAACCCCAACTAGAATAGAATAGAATAGAATAGAATAGAATAGAATAGAATAGAATAGAATAGAATAGAATAGGGATCCTGTACCTCTCTCTGCTCCCTCTGTGTGACACTTTATTGTCTAAAATCTTGTAGAGTACAAACTTTAGTGAGACATCTCAGACAGCAGAAAAGGTGATGTGTCAATTTGTTTCTAAACATAACTTGATATAAATGTAAATGTATAATGAACTTCATGTTGTTATCCTGCAATGATCATTTCAGGCTGTATACAAGACTGTACTGCGGAAAGAACCAGAGACACAGAGACAGAATTAGTGTTTGGTTTGATGAGGAATGAGACGCATGGCTTCATTTGACATGATGGGACATGCCTTTTTATTTTGGGAGACTGACCACCTGAGATTCACACACACACAATGGCGTGTGTGTGTGTGTGTGTGTGTGAGCGCGCGCACAGACAAGATAAACTGTACACATGGAAAACTGTGGGAGAATTTCCTCTGCACTGGTGTGTGTCTTGTGTAGTCTCAGTATGTGTGCCCATGTGTGCTTGCGTGTGCAGTGGAGGGTAGAGCGACAGGATTAAATAAATCACTGACGGAGAGAATATTCATGAAAAGGGAAGTGAATGCAGCCAGGGAGAGAGGGAGATGGAGAGGGGGAGATAGAGAGAGAAAAAGAGGCAGAGAGAGAGAGAGAGGGAGAACAAACATGACAGTGACATATTAAATGACAAACAACCCTCACAGCTCTCATGGACAAACAGTAACCCATTGTACCTCTGCCATGTCATGTGGTGCCACATCACTTTGTGCTCAGGGAGGCAGAAAATGGTGTTGCTGTGTTAGTCAGTTTAAAATCTGTTGGGAAGAGTTTCAATCACATGATTAAAATTATATGACTGGTTGATGTTTGACTTTGCACTCTGACAGCTGGTTGGTATTCTGAATTACTCCCTAAGAGTAGAAGATAACAGCAACAATAGCCCCAAGGTATTAATCCAAGCTCAAGTAAAAAAAAAAAAAAAAAAAAAAAAAAAAAAACTCATTCTTTTCTCAATTCAACAAGAGAAACTTTCTGATAGCAGGAGTGTTTTAATAATGGAATCTGAAGCAGAAAATTGCCTCTGCTAATCTGCACCAACTGCCTCGTTTGACTGAAATTAAAGGTGAGCTCTTATTAGAAAAACATTAGCCGCCCCAGCTAGTTTGATAGCTAACTTTCGCAGGGAGAAGAAGCAAAACAACACTCCAACTGCTTTCTGCGTGTGACATTTTGCATAAATACGTGCAGAGTTGGGGGAGAATGATTTAGGCTCAAATCGTTAAAGTTTCTCATTATTTTTTTGTCTCACCTTGGCAGTGTGTGGTTTTTATGAAGAGAGCTCAAGTTCTGCGCTACTGCAAAGCGTGACATTGGGGAATAAAGCAATAAGAAGAAAAAGGAAAGATCGTAAAGGCGTAGCATTTTATTATTCTCTGTGTCTAAAGTTGATGTTGTTTGTGTTGGTGTGTGTGCATGTGTGTGTGTGTGTGTGTGTGTGGTGTGTGAATGGTTATTAATGTTTGATGACAAGGATTTGGGTTCCTTTAAAGCAGCAGCCATGGCATTGTACTTTTGGTTTTTAATATTACGCTGAGTGGAGGGGAAGAGAAGAGAGGATCAAAGATGTCATGGCTGGGGTGAGATCAAAAGGAATGACAGCGCCTGCATCTACGTATTGTTAGAGGCTTTGTAAAGCTTTCATGATACTGCCGTAAGGATAACATCCACAACATTATACTTCAGCAGGCAGAAATCTTACTTTTAGAATCATATGAAATCAGAACTACAGATTTAGTTCATAAAGCCTGTGAGGGACTGACATAACTCAGTAGCAATGATTATTCTGGTAGTCATAATAATCACTTATCCCACCTTTGCTAAGCGATGCAGCACTCTTAAATCCTAAACTCAAATGTCACAATATGACAACACCCAAAACCTTCACCAAATTTAATCTCAACTCCACTGAAACACTTACAAAGTCTCTGTCCTCAAATGGGAATAGCAATCAAAAACAACTACAAGTTATGGACTGAAGACAGACAGAACTCCGCCCGTATCTTCATACGCTGACAACTGAAGTGCTGAGGGGAGATAGGAAAGTAGGAGAACAATTCGCACTCTGTTAGCCCGACTGATTGATCCCCACCAAACTCACTTTGTGGGAATATATATAGAGAGAGATGGGAGGGGATAAGGTGAGTGTTTCATTAAAACAGGTGACATGCGGGAACAAGATAAGGTGCACATGTGCACGTGTGTTTGTGTGTGACATCTCATCGCTGATAACTTTTCAATCAGGAGAACTTGCGGTTGGATGACTCACTCGAGTTGTGAGTGACGTCGGGTGAGACATGCTCTTTGGAGCGTTTCGCTGCTATCACTTCCCATCACTAGCCTTTTTATCATCAACAATTTCAATTCCAGTTTTGTGTGTAATTTAATTTAAAAGGTCCTTTTCTTTAAACAACTTCACTTTTCTTTTGAAAAAGTGCTGCTTTCAAATCAGTAAAGCACAACAAGTGTAGTGAATAATGTACACACATTATTTTTGCACAATAAAATGCACTGTTATCACATTAATCTCTTTCTTTGCCTGGAGGATACAGTATTACATATGGCCTGCTGCATGTTGCACTGCTTGGCTGAATATATACAGTCTGTCACACTATGGTAGACTACTGTGTTTTAAATGTCCCTCGTCCCTGTTTGAGGTCCTGTTGTCCTTGTAGCAGTGGTAGCAATACACAACATTACACATTTTTCCTATTATAATAATAACTGCGATGTCCATGATCAGAGTTGATATGGGATCCACTCCGATCTATTCAGTAATTGCATATAAATACATGGATTGATATCAGCGCAGATACTGACCTTTATAAGTCTGATCCACAAACTAATACAGTAACTTTGTCAATTTAATTATAAAAGACTGTATCTCCGCTATCAGTCACATTTATTCAGTCTGTGGACTGCTGAGTCAGTGTTTACCACTACAGCAATCCCTGGCCTTACCTCACACTTGCTTCCACACAGTGTGGTATGCAGAATTTAAATCTAGGAAAAAGCACTGTTATCGGATTGGGAATCAGTATTGGCAGATTCCCCTGAGGTAATGTATCAGAGTCAATATCGGGGGAGAAAAAGTAAAATCAGCCCACCCCTGCATCCTTTTTTACTGTAATAGCAAATAGACTAATTCTGATTCTATTCACATCAACAAAATAAAAACAATGGCTTGATGAAAAGCTGCTGTTAAATGCAGCAATGAAAAATGTAACCCATTAGCCAGTGCTGTGCTGTTAGGAGACACCTATCTAAGTCTTCACCTGTCAAAATGCAGAGACCAGTAAACCTGACCTACCTGTGAATGTGATCATTTGCAGGAGTGTGTGCGCGTGTGTTTCTTTATATTTTTCTTCTTTATCTCTTTACAGACAGTCAAAGAGGTAGAGTGTGCAAGTGACTGTAGCTTTCTGTCTTATTGGTAAGTCTTTGTTGGACCACAGTGCAGACAGGCCCTGTCTCTAGTAATGACTAGCAGTCTGCTACTTTGGGGGGCACAGAGATCCTCACAGTAAGCTACCTGTCTGTTTCACTAATTGGACACGCTACCCACATACACACAAGAATAGACACACATACAGAATAAAGTGGAAATAACAAACCCACATGAAAGCAGGCTTTTAACCACAAACTGTCAGCATTTACTTCATAGTGAATCCTCACACAGACATCCACCTGAGGTTCACTTAGTTTCTGTCTTTGCTAACACTTTGAGGGTAGCAAGGTTTTTTTTTAAGAGGATTAATGGATTTTAACATCTTAAGGTAAGCTCAGCTGCAATGTTGTGGGTCTCTTGGGTGAGGTATTTTTGGGGAATATGGATAGTCTCATACCCCAAGGCAAGGTTAATGGATGAACTCCTCTAAAATGCCCCATGTTGTTGGGCAAGGCAAGTAGCAAATGGCACCAGATAATGTTTCACCACTCACTATGTCTCCACTTGAGGATAATGTTTTGGAGAGTGTGATCTCTCCAGTGTAGGAAAAAAGGGACAATGTCACAGTGAGCGTCCATCTTGTTGCGTTGTTATCAACAAAATACCCTCCTCAGGTGTAAGAGTCAGCTTTTAGCTTTAACTTGCAAACTATGTAGAGCCGGTCCTGAAATCACAGGTTGGTAATAGCAGCCAAAGTGTGAGTACCGTCAATGTCAATAAACAACTGGAAATGACTAAAAGGAAATCGGAGCTGTGGAGTCCCTTATAACTTATTCAGACCACTGTGCCTGATTTCCATATCCCCAAAAAGGGTTATGGGGTTATGTGGTTTTCCTACACTCCTACCAGCGGCCAGCCATGGTTGCTTTTATCAAATTTGAAACCTTTGTACCTATATGGTCTAATCCTACACAACATCTTCTCAACCACTGACTAAGGTGATCTCCCTATAGTCACAGCAATATTGAAGGTGCTCACGTCCTCAAGTCCTCACTCTTGCAGTGCTTATTAGCTACTTATCATTTTGGTTTTGTCATTCTCTGGCTATATTTGTGGCTTTATCAGCCAATGTGCTGGCCTTCATGTGCAACAATACAATTACTACAACCAAAACCATCCAGAGGAAGAAGAGAAAAGAATCCAAATGACACAAGTGCCAGATAGTTTTACTTGAAAGAGAGAAATTATTTTTTCAGCTGACCTTTTAAGCTCAATTAATTTCCTTTTCTTTCTCATGCCTGCTAAGAACAAGAAGACAGAATAAGAAGAAAAAGAGGCTGAGGGCAATAAATAAAGTCAGACAAAGTTTAACCATGGGCAGAGAAATAACAAGTGACTGAGACAGAAAATGATTCTAGAATTAGTTAAATGAGACAATAAGAGAACACAACTGGAGACAGAGACAAAATCAGAAGAAAAAGACATACTGTAGCTACATAACGTGTTGGACTGTGCTGCAGCCCCCCTATGCCTCCCCCCTCCCTTTAGCAGTGGGTAAATAGAATAATTACTGGGTGGTCAGTGTAGTGTGAAATGACAGTGTGACCATGGCACAATGAAACACTGCCCAAATGCTGACAGAACATGACGAGCACATGACTGCCTGAATACAAAGTGTGCTTGTATGTGTGGCAGAGATAGAAATTGAAAAGGGAGTGGAAGTTTGTGTGCACACGTGTGTGTGTGTGTGTGTGTGTGTGTGTGTGTGTGTGTGTGTGTGTGTGTGTGTGTGTGTGTGTGTGTGTGTGTGTGTATGTGTGAATGTGTGTGTCTATGCATGCAGTGAGAAAATAATGGGCAACACATTATGGCAGGACAAAATGCTATTCCTCTGGCAAACTCGTGCTGAATTGATCTTCTAACCTCTTCCTTGCAGCTGTGGACAACAGCAAATCCTTGCTAATGTAACCGTTTGGACAAAATTTGGGACTTGAATTAACTGCTGCTGAATTCAATGGACCAGGTGCATAAAGATGGCAGTGTCGAGGATGAGGTCACTGCCCATTAGTGCAAAGCTGGCAAAAAGACCGTATATCTCCTTTTCCTCTTGCTGTTTCTAGGGATGCACTAGACCGACTACATCATAATAATGGCAATAATACATTACTATAGAGAGGCAATAAAATTTGTAGGACAGATTTGAAGGTTGCCTTTAAATGGTAAAGCACTTTAACTTGTTAAACCTTACGATGCAAAGTAACATACTGATGCAACAATGTGTAAACTGACACTGTTTATAACTTCGTATCATTTCCCAACTTGCTATGAACGGACATTTTAGTGATGAAGTAGAGAGTTTATTGGGAAATAAATCACAGCTCCAAATAAACAAACCCTTTAATGAACTGAGCCACTAATTTACTCTACCTTTATAATCCAATGGAAAGGTCTTAGACTATTCAATTACATGTGTAATATCCGTATATAAATCACACACTGCAAACAGGTGAATGAGGAAAAAGTGCAGTTATTTCATCATGATTAGTCTTTTCAGATAGTTATTAAAATATCAATTTAAAATGTACTAATCAAGCCAATAATAAGTGATTACTTTTCTGCAGGGAGATTTCTCATTTTTCAATTGTGTTTGTTGGGTTCCAGGTGGATCTCATGTGACTTTGTGTGAGCGTGCAACTAAAAATTTAAATTAATGCTGCTGGCAGTAGAGGGAAAATTAGGTGGCTCTTACATTATGATTTTTACGGGTTTTGTGTTGGAGATGCTTAATTCTAACTGGAGTCCTGGTTGTAGTGGTGTACAGTAAGACATGTGAGAGAGGGTAGAAAAGCAAAGGCTTTATGTGTTAATGAAAACCAAAAGGTGAGGGATGAGAGAGAGAAAAAAATAAATAAAAAAAGACCTGGATTAATTAGCCATCTTTCATCAGTTTTGCAATAATCATTGCCATGCACGTGGGAAAAGGGAAAATGAATGGCTTTCTGACTAAATTGGATTCGCTGAGCTCTTTGGCTTTGTCTCCTTCCAAAAAGGGGTGAGAATGGTTGTTATAAAGGGGCGTAAATTGGCAAGGCCCACACACTGCCAGTATGGAGGTGATTCAGTGTTGACTCAAGCTGACATGCTTTTTGACAGCAGGTGAGGTCTGAACTCTGTAATCCCAGAGGAGCACCTCTGCTTCTAGCGAAATCCTGCTGTTTCTGTTTATTTAACAGCAGAATGGGGCCAAGTTAAAAGGCCAAGTCGGTAGTGGCTACAAGACAAATGATAATATAGAGGTGTATCCTTATTTAAAAAAAAAAAAAAAGACAAGGAGAGGATGATGATGACAAAATCATAATACGCATTGGCCAAAATGTGAAGAGTCCCAATATGCCACATGAATGCATCCATTTTTATATTTTTTTTTTTTTTTTACAAACAATACATGAAACCTAGCACCCATTCACAGCAGAGAATGTTAATCGGCTTTAGACAATTCAAGTTGTCTCTCCAAGCACTGGAAAGAACAAAGAGGAATAAACACAAAGACAATAATACTCTCATATATTTAGCAATTTTCATTTTTTCTTTGCCATATCTAATTTTCAGATAAAGCCAGAAAAAAGAGAAAGAAAATGGTTTACTTAAACAGAAACAAGAAGGAAACAAAGACAAAATAAGCAGTGAGTGAGATCTATTAGGCTATTTTAGTGTAATGTTCTCAGAATTAATGAAATGGAAGTTAAATAAGTTAAAGTGGGTCAAAATATACTGCACTTAGTAGACAATTTGACAGTACACCTCATAGTAGCCATATAGCGTCAATAATAATTGCATCAGTATCTATTGTTTTACAATATGCCTGTTATGACAAAATTACATGATAAAAGCTCAAAACTATACTTTCCACATTGTGTGAAATACTTATTTCAATAGATCAAAATCCTAAATTAAAAATGCATATTTTCTCAAGTATTTTAATCTCTCATGCTGGAACAGTTTTACTGATCGTTCATCTGGAAAATGGTAAACTTTGACATGTTAATTTGAGAATTTTGTCACAATACTATTATATGGGACACGAGAAGTGATAACAGTGAATTATCGCCCAGCCCCACCACTATGTGTGAAAAACAATGTTTTTACTGTCAGGCAGATGCAGGAGGTGTGGCGTTCACATTAACAGGAAGCTAACATTGCAAAAAGGCTTCACACTCTGGTCTCTGCTCACATATGTATTCTAACAACTGTTGTCTGGACTTCCTGCTTGGCAGAGCTGGTTTTCTCTCCGTTATCCAAAGTTCTGAGACGTTGCTTCAACTAACAGATAATTTACAGGTGTTTTCAGAAACTTTTTTTTTTTTTTTTTGCCTACGATAGGCTCGTAAAAACATAATAGTACTAAGGCAGTAAGGGAACAATGTAATGACTATGCTCAATGGTTCTTTCCACAGAAAATGGTGTTGTAAAGCTCATTCACAGTATTTACCGGATGTGAGCCTCAGCTTTGGTAGCTGCCTGGTTGTACTGTTCAGCCGTCTCCTTGTAGTTGTCAAAGTTCTGCAGGCAAAGAGACAAAGAAAGGTGTAAATCAATTCAGGGATATTTTACAGCTCTGCAGAAGTTCCACTTCACTTTATACTTTGAATATAAAGTAGGCTGCTCAGATGTATGCTGCTTGTAATGATATGTGAACTTGTTTCCAGGCTTTAACATTATTCAATTTTCAGATCACATCATTGTCAGAGTCTTCAAATGAAGTCCCACGAAGCTTAACAACATGCATATCTACATAATGTTACCACAATTACAACATTTTTTACCTTCAGTTCAAGCTCTAATAAGCCAGCAATGATAACCAAAATGTATAACTCACCACCTGAAATGTCACATTCGTTAAATTAGAGACCTTTGAATTTTATAGCACTGCTTACAAATCCGAATGCTGATGGACTGTTGGTACTCCATAATGTTTTATTTCATGCGATACACAGTGGCATTTAAACAGCAATTACTACACAGATGGAGCTCATGCCTAGAGGGCAAGGTCATATACAGCAAACCTTTACTTTAGTAATCAGTGGTCACAGTGTTAACTACACTGCATCATGGCCTGAGCTGCTTACAAGGTGATGCACTGGAAGAAGTCAGTATAAGTATAAGTAGTTTAGAAAATGTATAAGTTGTGTAGTATTTCAGACCACAGTACTGAGAATGTGTTTAAAATCACCAGCACTATGAGATGAATGATCACCTTACAAGCTTTGCGTATGAAACATATGAAATAAAGTTTGTCTAGAATGCCCCAAACACAGGGCAAATCTCTATCACCACCCTCTCATACACATTCTCTTCACAGTAATCACCATTTTAAACCAATAACGGCAGCGCACATGCTTTTACTTAATTATTCCCTATATTCCCAATAGATGGGGTGATAGGAGAGGAAGATAAAGTGAAGTGACTGAGCAGGGAAAGAGATGGGATCAAACACAAACCTCCTCCACAATCCCTAGCTCTCTACTCCTCCAGTGCCCCCTAGTCATTTTCATATCTCATTATTTCACGTTGATCCACAGACATGCTTTTCCTGATCTGAATGTCTGGTGTTGGAGAAGACTCAAGCAATGTCATAGGCATCTTTTTCCTTAATCCTTTCTGCTAGTATTTCCTACAATGTAATAATCTGCCCCTTTATCCTTTCCTTTCCTTTTCTTTAAAGAAAAAATTGTAAAATAGAAGTTATAGTATCCGCCCAGTCTATGTAAGTTTCCATCATTAGGAAAACTGCTGCAGTTTATTGTTTGTTGTTATTTCTGTATATAAAACTTTGTTGATCTCATCCATACATTGCCATTTTTGGGGAGATTTTTCAGGCTTTGGCACAGGAGGATGGCATCCTCATTCCAAATTCTGCAAACAAAGCTCTGATTGGCACATTGTTGAAAAAAACTGGCAAAATGGCCGTAAACAAGCTATAGACAATGTACATTAGAGGAGAAATTAATAGTGTGACCATTTCCTGTTTACCTTTCTTATCTGAGTTTGTGTTCCATTTGACTGTCACGGTAATTCACTATGTGGAAATGCCAAACATCCCTAGGTGTAAGGCTTTATCCCTGCCAGTTATGTCTCCTGGCTGTGTTACATTGGATTATCTAGGGAAAGGACTCAGGATTAGACTCCTGTTGCCACTAAATCTCCCCAATGCCAATGTGTGGACTAGGCATAAATACCACACCTCAACAAGGGGGTAACATCTGCGGCTCCAAAGACTGGAGGTGAAGTATACGTCATCCCAGTATCATGAACCTTTGGAGTAAAAAACAGCTCCAAAGCTCAGAACTCCTGCTCAGATGTTTCATTAATGTACTGAGCATTAAACATAACCAATTAATGATTCAATTTGAAAGTGCAATAAACCAAGTCCTGGATTCGGGGACAGTAAAGAGACAGTAAGTCTGACCACTTGTTGGAGGAGAGTAATACTTTGCCTGGCTCCAGCGGAATATGAGGTAAGAAGTTAGCCACATGTTAGCAGCTTAGCCTTTAGCCTCAGGTCAAGGGCTCAGTGGTTACACTCAGAGGAAAGCTGAGCTGAAACTTGAAAGTCTGAGGTTGCCTTGTGGGACATCCTGTGTTTGAGCCCAGATAAAAAAAAAAAAAAAAAGACTCAACAGGGGTTTAAACCCACGGGTGCCTCAGATTATGCAGGACATAGAGAGTATGGCACCAGCAAGGGAAGCACCAAGGAGGTTGGTTTAAAGGTAAAGTGCTTTGTTTGCACCCTAACAAGGCCAAAAGAGAGTAAGCTAGAGCAGGCAGTGTAGTACAAAAGGAACTGGTTGATTGAAAATGTGAAAAAAAACAACCATCAGCAAAACATCCATTTTCAATTTCAAACTCCCATGTAAGGAAAAAATGTCTGCCAAGTGTACCTGTCTGGCTTTGAAGCTAACAAGAGATTTTAATATTAGATAGTGCCCTTGGTGACTGATGCTCTACTACATACTGTCGGGTTGCAACAAACATCCATAAAAACTATGAAAATCTTCAATTTAATGGTATGCATTGACAAAAATGTGAAATTGCCACTATCGCTTGAAAACAATGCTTTGCACATACAAAATGTTGTCAATGTTGCCAACTCACACATATTCTCTCTGCCATGAATCCAACACTAAAACAGAAACTTGTAAATCATGTGCTTTGGAGAGATTATTGGGTATCTCACAATTTGGAGCTTCTTCTAAACGGGAACCAATTCACATCTCCTGCTCTGGCTAAAGAGTCTCTACTGTCTCTCTAACAGAAAACACACACATGCAAACTAACAGTCAAACACTCTGTGCTATTAAGCATGGAGACTGAAAAACAAGGGTAGTTTGGTGTTTATGGGAGGGACGTTGTAAAAGTACAACTATCATGTCTCTGCTCTTGCTAATAAAACAGGGGAATATGGGGACAATGAGGATAATGGAAGTGTGAAGACAGTGTTTGGACTGGCAGGTTCAGCTTATCCTGTCAATTTTGGGGGACTGCAAGCCTGTGTGTTGTTTTTATGTGTATCAACATGTTTTTTGTGTCTATTGACACAGAACAGACCCTGAGCAACAGCCCCAGCTCGGCTCTCATGACACCAGAGAAGTGGCAGCACTATCACTGGCACACATACTCTGAGCTCTTCCCAGCCATTTGCACCCATGGGGACAAAAGCCCAATGTGGAGAGACAGAAAGGGGGGGATGATAATTCTCAATGGGGGAAGGCAAGGTTTTGGGGGTGTTGGAAAGGCTCATGGAGGGGATTAGTGTGGGTGCACGTGTGCTGCGTGTGTGTGTGTGTGTGTGTGTGTGTGTGTGTGTGTAAGCTTGCATACGTGCAGGTGTGTGACTAAATCTGTGTTTGTATTTGAATGCTTGTGCTCAAATGATCCTTGCATGCACACTCGTCTGAACACCCTCCAGGAGCTGTGGATTGAGATGGGTTGATGTCAGGATTTTGAGGGAGGGGTTGCTTCACGCTCTACACTTGGACGAAGGCGGATTAATTTTTTTTTTTTTTTCAGACGCAGCAGTCAACAAAGGGGAGAAGAGGGGATTAAAAGAGGTGAATTTTAAACTGAGACTTGTTTACAGAGTCACAGGGTATGTTGCCACATGAAGACAGATATACTCCACCTGTACACTGCGCACAGATTAGAGGGGCTTCCACAAATAAACAAGAGAGAGAGGAGAGGACTGGAAGAGAGGAGACATGGAGAATGTAGTGGTATGTTTGGGCTTGTTTCACTCTTGGGATGTCTTCTATTGTGTGGAAGAGGGTAAATGCTAAATTGTGCAGCAGATTGGTCACTCTATCACAATTATTTCTGAAGTGACAGCAAGTGGACAAACCTGTCACAATGACCAAACATACACAGACACAGACACAGACACACACACAGAGACAGACAGACAGACAGACAGACAGACAGACAGACAGACAGACAGACAGACAGACAGACAGACAGACAGACAGACAGACAGACAGACAGACAGACAGACAGACAGACAGACAGACAGACAGACAGACAGACAGACAGACAGACAGACAGACAGACAGACAGACAGACAGACAGACAGACAGACAGACAGACAGACAGACAGACAGACAGACAGACAGACAGACAGACAGACAGACAGACAGACAGACAGACAGACAGACAGACAGACAGACAGACAGACAGACAGACAGACAGACAGACAGACAGACAGACACACACACACACACACACACACACACACACACACACACACACACACACCTTTCTGATTTGTGCCAGTGGTGGACTCGACAGCATCCGCAGCCTTTAGACAAACACAATAGTCTGTTATCATCATTCATCCCTACAGCAAACTGGACACCACAGAGAATATTTGTGTGTGTTTTCATATAGGTAATCAGCCACATACGCACATACGCACATGGTTACACACACAATTATAAGCCTATTTGAAGGGGCTGCTGCTAAGCCAGGGTAAAATGTTGATTCAGGTGAAGATCACACACCAATTACCAATGGATTCTCCATCTAATCTGGCTGTTCTTACATTTGATTTAAATCTCTGATCATCAAGAGACCAAAACAGAACTGCATGTGCATGAGAGCCCGCATGTCCGTTTCTGTAAAAGAATCAATATGGTGGTATGGAAGAAGCTCTGGTGTCTGAAATTATCTATAGAATAAAAACACAGACTAGTATTCATACTAACACAATTGCATTCATCACCTTAAAGTCTCTGCTTTGCAATAATACAGTAGGATCTGATACAATATGGGATAGATGGTGAGGGAGGCCCGGATATAGCAATGTAAAGCTTTCTTCACATGCTTGGATCATTATTTATGTGAAAAGTGAGACATATTACCGTGTGAATTTGTGTTTTGCATTTATGTTTATGACCTGTGTCAGCCACAATTCAACTTTTAAGTGGCCATTTATTTCACCCCAACTGGAATTTGCCACAGGTATGAGAGAGTGAAAGAAAGAAAGATAAGCAGGGAAAGGAGAGATGCATGAAAGGAGGCCTGGATGAATGGAGTGCTAGATGGGAAAATGAAGGAAGAGAAGAAGGGAGATGGACGCCGGCTCAGGATAGACCGTCTGTTTAATGCTCAGTCCATATAGCCTCTTTATCTCTTGCTCTCAGTCCCCCTCTTTCTCACTCCCTCATCCGCATGCAGGTCAGCTGCGAGCAAGTGAGGGGTGAAAAAAAGTGATAGAAAAGGGACTGCGGCGGCGAGCGGAGAAAGATAGAGCATCCTCCGCTCTTCTGCCAATCAGTCTCTTCCGTCAAGCATTGCAGCGTATGCTGCTTGCTGTATGGTGTGCAAGGGGCTCTCCCATTTAACTTGGCTATGTAAAAGGTTTTCTCAGAGGCCTAAAGGAGGCGAGTGCCAGGGACTAGATAAGGTCCTCAGTCTGCCTGATGGGCCCTGCCGAAGGGAGAGAGAGACAGGGAGAGGGGAGGTGGGGGAGTCAAGTCCCAAAGAGTGTCTACTGAATACTGGAAGGAGAGTTGTGGGTGTGTGGAAAGTGGGTGAGGTGGGGAAGGTGGGGTGAGGGCATATGTGTGTCTACCTGAACCTTTTCACCACTTCATCATGGTATTGTTAAAAAAAAAAAAAATCTAAATATTTGCCTCGTCTTTCCTCTCGTTTTACATTCTTTGTTCATAATTATTCAGTGTGCTTGTCATCTATGTTTTCCTTACAGTTTCAGTCATATATTTCCCTAACTTGTAACATGTAATTTCACTTTCCTGCCTCTTGTCCTTCGGTTTAACCTTTGTCAATAATCAAGAGCCTAAAGCAGTTTTTCCTGCCCTACAATCATACACCAGTACCAACCTTGCTCCTCACAAATCTTTTAACAAATACAAGTTTACTCATTAAAAAGCAAGCAACATTTATCAAACAACTGTGCTGGCGGCTTTTAAAAGGGTGCAAAATATCAACTGTGCATTAGTGCTCAGGTGGAGGGAACACAGGTCATAATTTCTTAAAAGCACCCAACAAACTGCTCTTATTCTTTTTTCTTTTTTGTGAAAAGATCGAGTTGCTAGCAAAAGGACATAGTGATGAGAAAAAGCACAGTACATTTGATTAGGCAACCGAAGCTCTCTGAGAGGCCGCGCTGTGAAAACTCTCTTGAGTGCTGGTCCATCAACAGCAAGTCGTGACTCTCATCTGTCTGCTGAAACTTTCAATTCATTTACATTTACATTTAGACACCGGTATGTGGGCTTGACATTTCCAAGATAGGAAAGAGTGTCTTGTGTCTCAACAAGATTTTACTCTCCAAGGAGACTGAGTAATATGTCACCTTAAGACTTGTTTTGCTATTCCTGATGTGTGAAGACTTCTTTTCAGTGAAAGCCTACAAGATGTTTTTATCTCATTAGTGAGGTCTCCAGTTATACATGTCAAAATTTTTAAGTGCTAGTATCTTGCTCTCTAAACCTCCACACAAAAAAAAACTCAAAGAAAATGATGAAAAGAAAGATGCACAGTCTCACTGATTTACATAAACTAATGTCAGCTCTCCCTATGATTTCATACAGCAGGTCTCGCTATTCAAAACTTGTTTTTTTTTTTTTTTAATTGAACATCTTGGAATGCAATTAATGCACACATTGGAGGAAGCATGTTTATATATGAAGCCTTTCAGATGAGCTCCATTCCTTTTGATGGTATGCATGTTTATATGATGGAAAAATATGATTGAATAATATTACCTTTTTCTCCAGTATTTCTAGTTGCTCTTTATAGAAGCTGGAGATGCTGGCCAGTTCCTTCTCTTTGCTCTCCAGTTGTTTGGCCTGAGGAAAAAGGAGGAGAAGACAAAGAAGAATAAGAATTAAGAAAGTACAAAAAACAAAACAAAAAAACACTGCATTTTCTATATAAAAGAGTCAGAATATGAAAAAGTAGTTATAATACGCTGTAGAGGTTCTTTATACTTACACCTGACAATTTCCTACCCTAATATGACCTGCACAGGCCTGTATAAATACTCAACTTTGACTTCTTGGGAAATAAGGAAGAGAGGGAAATCAATTCATGATCCATGTAATAATTAAAATTTTCATTTGACAATGTTTGAGTTGACATAGTTACTAATTGGGTAAAATTATGCTAAAAGTAACGGGCTAAAGCAGCATATTCACTTCCTTTGCTTATGAGCATTCTGCACACAGGGGACACCAGCCAGAGGCAAATGTTGAGGAGAGAAAAAACAAGGCAAGCTTTCACTGCCCAACAGATGAACAAAACATGACTATAACATCGGTTTCTGATAAACTAAAAAATATCACCTAAAAGACAAAAGTGTGTACACACATCTCTCACCTATGATGAAATACATATATAAATAAATACATATATAATACACGATCAAATATAATTGACAGTTTCAGTTAACTCTACTTCATATTCCATGACAAAAAAAGAAAAATCAGAAATTACAATATAAAATCATTATACTTGACAACATACTCATGACTAAAAATCCAAACTTCATAGTGGTTACTGGGACTGTTTCAACTACTGTTCAGTCATGATGTAAGCACGTAACTGAGCTACTATATCAGCTGATGCACTACTAACATATATAAATGACAGAGGAGATGCATCTTTGTGTGCGCAAACAAATTTTCCTCTAACAACAGATTGATGGCACAAACAATTTGGGAAACGATGGTAAAAAATCATTATACCCTCCTGAAGTGTGGGGCTATAGTGTCAACTTGCAAGTTTTTGTTTTTCGATGTATTAGTATTACCATTACTATTATTTCAGTACCTTCTCATGTGTATGGGTATATCATAATATCATAAATACATGATGCTTGATGGAAATCTATGATACTATACATGAAAAGGACATCGCATCTACACCTCAAAGTAAAACACAAAAGAATGTCCATTTAATAGGGGTTCTATCTAATGTAACAGAACTTACAAAACTACTGAGGTGGCATGTGACTGGCACAGCGGCAGCAGAGGTGGACATGGCGATGCTGGCATTATGATGAGGTGAAACACTTTAATATGCCCGCTGAGCCAAGCTTTGACAGGCAGCAAGATGGCAGATTGGCTGAAGGAAGACCCATAGTTTGGGCCATGGCGTAGCGTCATGCAAGCAGAAGAAGATAGGAGGCAGGCGTCAAAAAGATACACTGTGAAAACAAGTTGCCAGTTCAGCTTGAAGTTAGAAATGCACATGCACTAGGGATTTTAAATAAAAGATTCACTTTGAGGAAAGATTCACCAGAAGATGCAATATGACTAACGCAATGGCCATTTTGTTTTACCAGTATGAGGCTTCACAATGTGGCAGTATTATTACACAGTTGCATAAAATGGAATGAAAAGGGATTCCTTTGTGATAAATATTAACTATAATAACATCATAAAGTATAATGAGGACCTATGGAAAAAAAAAACAAGAGAGAGGGATAGTCAAAAGAGATGTATACGATCCAAATTTAAGACAATAGCAAGTACTGTCAAAACATCAGTGTAGCTGAATGGCAAGCACACTACAGTACCCTGATCCTACACCATGCCATCAGCTTTGTATTTTCACTCACTGTGCATTACTAATCCATCTCATTTTACATAATCCAATCACAATATTACAGTGAAGATTTACTGTTGAAACATGAAAGCTATATTAAGACATTTTTGCACAGACAGTCACAGAGTCATTTGTTTAGCAATAAAGATACGGTGCAGTGTCTTTGTATGACAACAGAATATCAAATCTATGTTTTTATTATTCATACTATATAAAAATTGGCAGATTTGAACCTACAACAAACCAAAACGAATGGCAGTGAGCTGGATTACACAGATACAATAAAAACTTTGCGTCTTGGCTTAGGATCTTAGTGATTGCATGCATCTGTCATAAGTTTGGTCACACTGTGTAGAGTGTGCAGTAGATAAAGAAGGACCTCAACATTGAACAGCTGAATTGCATAAAAGGATAGATAACATGGACATGGTGTACACAGACTGGTGGAACTCTCTAGAATGCACATATTTGATCTGTGGAAGTTTACAATTGTGTGCCTGGGAATTAAAATATACAATCAATCCGTGCTAGGGCACGTATGAACACGCACTGTTTCTAACCAATAAAGGTAATGAGGGAAGCTGTACAACAGAAGTATGAACATGATATGGTGTATGAACACAATGAAGCTGGCCGGGAGTGAGGCAGGAAAAGGCAACAATGGGGCATAGATTTATATAGCATTGAAATATGTAATATATATGTATTACAACATACAACCAATCGCACACACAGACACACGCATATTGTGTCGTGGTGTAATGGTGACTGCTTGCTGTACCCAAGTTGTGCATTACAAGGTGTGACAAAGATCTGATGACGCAACAGCATCTTCTCTGGCTGATCTGCACTCTCATTTGATATTGTTGGTGGTGGGGCGGACACACACACACACACACACACACACACACACACACACACACACACACACACACACACACCCCAAAGAGCACATCTGCAAATCCCTATACTGTGCTTACTGCACTTTTTCCTTTTTACAGTGGTTGTTTGATGTTTAAGAGCTGTGTCAGTACAGACCACAAATTATTCTCACATTGTATTATATTGTACACCTTGATAGGAGCACAGCATTGGTGAATAAAACTGATTGGACATGATTTGGAAAGGCACACACCTGTCTATATAAGGTCTCACGGCTGACAATGCAGATCAGAGCAAAAACCAAACCATGAGGTGGAAGGAACTGTCTGCAGAGCTCAGAGACAGGATCATGTCAAGAAACAGATCTGGTGAAAGATACAAAAAAACATGGAACAAGTGTGGAACAACCAGGCCTGATCAAATTGAGTAATCGGGGTGGAGACGGGGGAAACTACCATCACTGCAGCACTCCACTGATCTGGGTTTTATGGAAGAGTGGCCTGAAGGAAGCTTCTCCTCAGTTAAAGACATATGAAAGCACCTAAAGGACCCTCGGACTGTGAGAAACAAGATTCTCTGGTCTGATAAAACCAAGACTGACCTCTTTTCTAAGAGTCATTTCTGGAAAAAACCAGGCACCAAGCATCACCTGCAGAATACCATCATAACAGTGATGCATGGTGGTGGCAGCATCAGGCTGTGGAGGTGTTCTTGAGTGGCAGGGACAGTGAGACTGGTCAAGACTTGAGGGAAAGCTGAATGGAGCAAAGTACGGAAATATCCTTAATGAAAACCTGGTCCAGTGCACCCAGGACCTCAGACTGAGCCGAAGGTTACCCTTCCATCAGGACAATGAACCTAAGCACACAGCCAAGACAATACAGGAGTAGATTAGGGACAACTCTATAAATGTCCTTAAATGGCCCAGCCAGAGCCCTGACTTGTACCCAATTGAACATCACTGGAGAGCCCTAAAATGACTGTCCACTGACAGTCCCCATCCAACCTGACAGAGCTGGAAAGGATCTGTGGAGAAGAATTGAGAAAATATCCAAATCCAGGTGTGCACAGCTTGTCACGTCATACCCAAGGCGACTGGAGGCACTAATCACTGCCAAAGGTGCTTCAACTAAGTGTTTAGCAAAGGGTCTGAATATTTATGTCAATGTGATATTCATTTTTTCTTTTTTATAAATTTGCCAACACATCTAAATTTCAGTTTTCACTTTGTAATTATGGGATATTGAGTGGAGATTGATGAGGGAAAAAATGAATTAAATTGACTTTAGCATAAGGCTGCAACATAACAAAATGTGAAAAAGTGGAGGGGTCTGAATACTTTGTGAATGCACTGTTTGTGTGTGTGTAAAATCACCTCTGCCAGCAGCACAGATGATGTGTAATTTTCTAGCTGAATACCTCCCAAAGTGTTGTTGTGTGGAATGGTGGCGGCGGCACACTCACGGCCTCGCTTTAATGCACAATGAAAACATGACATTTGAATAGAGAAGCGAGAGAGGGAGAAAGGGAAAGGAAGAGGATTGGACATAGGTAGAGAGAGAGAGAGAGAGAGAGAGAGAGAGATAGAATAACAACAACAAAAAAAAGCTTAAAAACAGGAGAAACTGGCAATGATAGTGTTGCTTACCCAGACATCCAAATCTGCTGGCTAGGAGAGAGTGAGGGGACAGTGGTTAGTGAGACAGTAGAAGGCATAAGGAAGGCACAAGAAGGGATGGTGATAGAGACAGAGAGGAGGAGGATAAAAGACGAGCATAATGAGGAAAAGAAAAAAGGAGGTGAAGTACGATGAATAAAGAAACAGCCGAGAATGAGGGGGAAAATGAGAGTGCAAGCAGAGATAACAGTAAAAGAAATAATTACAAAAGGGAACAAGGAGGGCACAAGGTTAGTACAGACAGTCACAGAGTAATCGACACCATAATGTAAAAGTTGCACATATTTGGCTGAGGACTACTTGTTAGTATAAAACCTAATTTGCCAAATGTTGAGTGTTGTATGGAATGTAATTTTAACTGGTCACATAATGCATCAAGCGTGTCCCAACATGCATTCTGTGACCAGATAACTTACTGGTTTGACAAGGTGATGAAAAAACACATGAAATTCTACTCAGTAATCTCTACATTGGTCAAACTGACGGCACAGGCGTTTTCCATACACTCAGGATGTTGTGGCACATGATTCTTCCTGCATGTCAGCTACACTACCACTTCCCTGTCCACCCAACTGTCTTGTCTCCCTTCACTGATTCAAATTTAAAGAAGTGCCTTGATTCTTGTTCAGAAAACAGTATTTGTAAAAACATATGATCACAGACTGTGTCTTTGCATAAAGCATAACAACAAATGAATTTTGTTTTGTTAAGTACATCTTCAGTACACCATAAAAACCAAACAAACGTTTTAAATCAATAATAATTAAGTATATTTATTTCAAAGTGTAGTTTTACTACTGATAGAACTGTTAGGTTTTAGCCTGCACATTAATGTTTAAAAGGCAGTTATGTTATACAGGTGTGTGTTTATTGCCTATTTTACAGCGGCTCTTAACAGGACCTGGACAGCCAGCACTGACAGACTAAGCACCTTACTATGTGTTTCTCATATAATAATTTACAGACCTGTAAATGTATGAGTCTTGAATGCGACCATAAAATGTTATATGACAGCATATTCTAGACTACAATATGTTACAATACGTCTATCACCAAATCAAATAAAGCATTACAACACAGACACACAGGACAGCATATTTGGGTGTGTCTAGCCTTGCCCACTCAAACCAAGTGCTCCCAGTCCAGCTTTAGACACAAAACAGAAAGGGATAGATTAGAGCAGTGGGTGGCTCTAATGTTGCTATGCCTCATAAAGACACCATTCAGTTAAATGAGGTGAACTCACAAAGCCAGTTGCTACAGAGTGTGTGTGTATGTGTGTGTGTTGAGTAATCTGTGTAACGGATACAGCCGATGCCATCTGTTTAACCTTCCCACTCTTCAGTGGCTGGCCCTATACTGAATATGTGCCTGAATCTGACTCTGTGTTTGTGTGTTTGTGTGTTTGTGTGTTTGTGTGTGTGTGTGTGTGTGTGTGTGTGTGTGGCTTCCCACAGCGTGTTCACAGGAGTGTGGAGGTCCCATTTCCATAGACGATAGACTTTAGAAGAGAGGTGCGGGGGCTTGTTGTGATACAGATGCAGACAAACACACACCCAAGTAGTTTGGTGCAGTCCATGGGCCGTAGCGGACAACAGCATTCCAGGTACATACACTCATTGTTTTCATGCTCCCTGGTGACCAGCAGTCAGCAACCTCAGTCTCAACATTAAGAGTCTGGATCAACGGAGCTAGCAAAAGCACACCCAGAGAAATATTCCAAATAGACTAAGGCTCATACATTCACCAAGATTATTATGACAAAAAAAAGCTCCTACATGTAACATTAATGTATTATTAATCAATTTAATTATGACCCTTCAGTAAACATAAATCACATCGACTTATAGGCATCTATAAAAATCACATAACAGGATACCTTTAAAGAAGTTCAGGTTTAAGAATATTTCTAAAAACTGTGAGTGGATATATCAAACTGTAGGTAACCATAGCAACAACACCTATCTCTCACTCTACGCTGCCAGTAAAATTATGAGTGAAACTTATCTAGTCATAGATAGGCGATCCAGCAGAGTACTATCGTCAAATTATGCTAACAATAATTACCACCTACCCACCAAAAAAATGATCCTCCATTTTTCTCACTTCATTGTCTTAGAAATACAATAACAAGCTTCTTTTCCCTCCCTCTAAAGGCCCACCCCCCAAAAAATACCTTTATGACATAGTCAAACATTTTCTGTCACTTTTCATATGAACAAACCAGTCAAGCTATGAAAGCCTTCCAGAAGAGATACTCTGAAAATGTGTGCCGTTATCCCCATATTCAACAGTATCACCGCCCTCTCTATGACGGCTGTCCTGCCACTCCACCACTGAGTGTGGCTGTCCAGAACAACTATGAACACTTTTGATCTCCGACATGGTTGAACCAACTACTTCTAATCAAGCATCAAGAATGTCAGCCTCATCCTGGTCTAAAATCTAAGTAGGCGAACAATCATATAGGGCAAATCAAATTATGTCATGATGACAAATGGGAGGTAAGGTTTGCATTCAGCGCGTGCTGTAACTACAGGTTACTTACAGGTAAAAAGGGAAAATACTTTGCCAACATGGTGAAATTAATGATGTCCTTTCTAGATAAACAAACTGATTTTATGGAACACACTGAATTTGATTAGCTATGCTTAGCTGAATTATGTTTGCTGTGGTTGTACCATGAGGGTCACCAGATGCACCAGCTCGGCAACGCTTCATGCTTGATTTAAACTTGAAACCTCAATGGTCTGGCAAGACTCTGTGTGTGTGTGTGTGTGTGTGTGTGTGTGTGTGTGTGTGTGTGTGTGTGTGTGTGTGTGTGACGCAGAAAAACAGAGGCAGAGAATGTGCTATTAAGACTGTGTATGTGTATGTGTATGTGTGTGTGTGTGTGTGTGTGTGTGTGTGTGTGTGTGTGTGTGTGTGTGTGTGTGTGTGTGTGTGTGTGTGTGTGTACACATGCGCATCCATGTGCGCGTGTGTGTGACAGGATGAGACCTTTTGGTCTACAACACCACATCACATGGTGAGAAACGCTTCCTTGGAAATCAATTATGTAAATACTGAGTTATGCAAATAGTAAATTTGAATAAATCTATGTGTTTGGGGAGAAAAGATTTTGGTGTGGTTTTCTACTAGGAGTCAGGAGAGGAGAGAGACAGAGATGAGGAAAGAGGGCTAAAATGAGGATTAGACTGGAGAATGTCACTGGCAGACACAGTTTGTGCAGTCATACTCCTGATTTGGCTTTTTAATTAGGGAGAAAGAGATGGAGAGAAAGAGAGAAAGACAGAAATACAGACAGAGAGGAGAAAATAGGAGCTAATTCAGTGACAGCTTTCTTCCTGTCCTCCATATCTCTCTGGGAATAAGTACGGTAAGCACATTCATCATGTGTGCCAGTAATAAATGCCACTGGTACAGCTGAGTGCTTTCACCCCAGCTCTTGTTTGGTCGATGCTGATGCTTGGCTGAGACTCCAGAGTGTTTGTGTGGATTTGCCCTCAAAGGCAAACTGAATGATGCACAGCGAGGTGCACACACATATATATATATATACACACACCTGCAATGGCATTCAATAATCTCTAGCACGTTACTCTATCATTTTCAAAAACGAACAAACTTTGATAATGTACAGAACAAAGTCCTTGTGTTTCCACAGACAGTGGGACACTTCATTAATTACACTGTTGTCCCTTTTCAAATCCCTTTTTGACCGAGTAACTGAAATCAGGAAGACGTTCCTTATAACATGCACATTGTTATATCTCAGTGGCAAATTTGTGTTCATGTTTCTATTATCCAACATTTTTTGTTAATTGTCCCTCATCTCAGCATTGCCTCCTCTCTCTCACACACATACAGACAAAAGAAGAAACACCTAATAAAGGGCAACATACACTGGAGGTGTATGACGTAACATTTGCACCCACTGTTTTCTACATAAGCCCACACACTGGCACTGCCAGTGCACATCATCACAGGTGGGTGTGAATCCATGTGTCATATGCCACTGTCCCATTTTCCAGCATCGTCTCACATCAACTCTCCAGAAAAACATTTATTTATTACATTTGCTCCATGAACATCCATTCTACCATACCATGACTTTTTGTTCTGGCTTACAGTGTTATAGGTGTCAGTTGACAGGTGTCAAATGAAGTATACATAATCCTGTATGACATGTGACTGTCATCTTGTTATTTCAAAAATCGAAGTAGAAATTGAATGTGGGAAAAAAATAATGTTACAGGTGTATTAATACATAGACTCCAATTACACAGCCTCAATCAAGAAAACACTTAAAATAAATATGCATGAATCATCACAATAACACCTGTGGGTAATGCACACACCTGCATGCACCCACGAAAACGCACATGAACTCACACTTAAGTATGCACACACAGTACAGTAGAAACACCAGAGGCATGAATTGGTTAGTCTAGCTGTTTGCTCATTAAATGTGTGTTCTCCTCACATAGCTGGGGGAGGTTAAATGAATTAACACTTCATCATCAGGCTGTTTTCCCACCACAGACTGTCACAGAGACAGACAGAGAAGAATACAGATACTAAGAGGAGGATAGAGGGAGGATGGAGAAAGAGAGGTGTCATTTGAATAAGAGGAATAGGTTTTGTTGAGAAGAGAATAAAGGGTGGGGGAAATGAGAGAAGAAACAAGGTAGTAGTTAGAGAGAGAGAGGGGAGCAACAATAACCATAGGCATTTTCTGTCTTCTCTACTCATTTGCTCCAATTTAGCCTAAAATAGTGACGTTCCACAAAGTTTTACTTTTTAAGTCCAGGGACCCAACTTCTCCACTCATCAGTTTCAAAACGTTCTCTGTGCCCTGGAGAAATCTTATCAACTACAGACAGGAACAGTTTGGTCACACTGGATTCTGACGTCTAGCTATTTAAACCCACCAACAGGAACATGTCAAGAAAGCTTTCTCATTTTGATCACCTGTACAGTTCAACCTG